ACGATGACTTTACATTCGATTGAACATAGTTACTTTCTGAAGTACAAGGTGCATTTTCAATATTAAACCTTTCTAAAGATGTTTTCAAGTCACATTTATAATTCAAATAACACTCTTCAGCCTTATCATAAATGTCTTCCTTTACATAATTAGTACCTAGTAATAATTTTTGATCTGAATTACGCTTTAGCTCCTTATTACCAGATAAAAATTCGAACCACGTTTGCTCGATTAATTCTAATCTTCCCTCTAAATACTGTTTAGTAATTCGATCTTTTGGGCTCTTTTTGAAGTTAGTTTGCGCCTTAATAATGCGCTCATATAGTTCAATTTGAAAGTTTAACAACGCTTCCATTTTTAAGTAATTAAACAAAACTACAAGTTCGTAAGTTCAAACAGCAAAATGTTCTAAGTAAAGACACCCAAATTTTCTAAGTTGTAAGGTACTCAAATTTTTCTGTCTTTAAAGTTTACAAAGCCTCTTAAAAATTGGACATAGGTTCCCCGTATTAACGTTTTTATCGAAATTATTCTAAGTCTTAACTAAGTATGGAAATTTTAAAGTTTAATTTAATTTTAAAGTCCAAATAATGATCACGAATTTTTATTTTTTCAAGTTATAGTCTTCCTGGTAGGTAATAAGGTTCAAAATTACTCACGATTTTCACCACACAGACACAACTTGCCTCACTTGTATTTGCTTGCCTTGCCGTACCGCCGCAATTCTACCAACTGCAACCGCTTTCCGCAACGGGGGTGGCTTCGCTCCGTGATGACGTATCCTGACGCGCACTGACGTCACTGCAGCCAAGCGCCGTCCGAGGTCAACCTATTGACCCCTGTAGATCACCACGTTTGCGACAGCGATCCACTGCCCGTAGCGACGAAGAATCCGATTCGAAGGACCATGAATAAACTTTGATCACTCCCTTGTGGTACACACACACTCGAGGTATAGGTATTAAAATAAATCCAAGTACTCAGAGATATGCTAAGGTTGTTTATTTTATCGAAACCATATTCTTACATGTAGGCTTGAACACTACAACCATACCGCGATTTAAAACAGTACAACGCCATCTATAAGTTGTCATCTGACTTAATCTTAACAATCTTAACAACTATACTTCATTAAATCAGGAAACACGCCAGATTCGATACTAGTATTAAAAATAATAGCTAAATGAGGCGCGATTGTATCTACTCGTATTATAGACGCAATAACTTTAACGGAAATCCCCCACAGATCCGCAGTTTTCTTAACATCAATAGTTTTAAAATATTTTACAATATCTTTTGATGATACTTTATGAAATGCAAAATTCTTTGTACACGCATTTACATTTTGTTTAAGTAATGATTCGGCGACCGCAGGAGAAGAATTCAGTGACTTAGTGGTTAATATCGGAATATCAGTAAAATATTTCTCAAAAACCATTGCAACGTCTTGATCTGATTCGGTTAATTTGTTACTAACACTTAACTGGTAGTTTGAATTGTGAGATCAATCAGGAAATTTGATCATCCGAGATCGTCAGTAATGAGGCTGTACTTGCCGCGGAAGCATGGCGGGCGCGGCTTTTTAAGCGCGCTTACCATGCATAATCGCGAAGTGTGCAGCCTCCGTAATTACTTTCTGACGAGAGCGGATGATCCAAACTATAGGGACGTTATTTCTTGTGATAAAGGACTGACCCCTCTATCCTTAGCCAACGAGCAATGGCAAGACCCAGCAGTACAGTGCATTTCCGACCGGGAGACCGTATGGAAGGAGAAGGAGCTCCACGGGAGGTTCTACAAGGCTCTACATGAGCCTTTCGTAGACACAGTCGCGTCCCTTCACTGGCTACGTTTCAGTGACCTCTTTGGGGAAACCGAGGATTTTGTCTGTGCGATACAGGATCAGGTTATTAAGACCAACAATTATCGGAGATACATCCTAAAGGATGGCGCCGTCGACATCTGTCGAGCTTGTCGCCATCCCGGTGAGTCACTTAGGCATGTCATCTCCGGTTGTTCGGCGCTTTCTAACTCTGAGTATTTGCACAGACACAATCTAGTAGCCAGGATTCTACACCAGGAGCTCGCTCTGAAATACGGCCTCGTGGATCGGAAACTGCCGTATTATAAGTACTTGCCGGAAGCCGTGCTCGAAAATGACCGCGCCAGGCTCTACTGGGACCGGGCCATCATCACAGACAGGACTATTCTTGCGAATAAGCCTGATATTGTGCTGATGGACCGGGCACAGTCAAGGATCTTTTTGGTCGACATTACCATTCCTTATGACGAGAACCTCGTGAAAGCCGAAACAGATAAGGTGACAAAATATCTGGACCTGGCTCACGAGGTTACCGGCATGTGGGGTGGTCTGCCGACCGAAATTATTCCTGTGGTCGTTTCTGCGAACGGGTTAATCCCAGTCAGCCTCCCGGGTCATCTGAGGCGACTGGGACTCCGTGACGGACCGCTCCAGGCTCAAATGCAGAAGGCGGTGCTCCTCGATACCGCCCGCATCGTCCGCCGGTTTCTTTCCCTTTCCCCCTAACCCTCGGCCGTCTGGTCTCCCCTGCCGAGGGCTTCCATCTGGTTGGGTTTTTATATATTTATGTATTTTTTATGTATTTATTTTATTTTATTCATATTTAGGGGGTCATTGTAGAAGCGTGCTCGTCGCGACCCCTGCCAGCCCTTTTCAGGGCTACAATTCTACTCAGCTGCGCACCCATGACAACGAGGGTTAGGGCGTCCCCCCAAGGCGACGCACACCAGCTCGTCCCCGTTGGTGTGGAATGCAGCGCGCAAAGCGGCGATGGGGACCGCCACCCGTCACGCACAGCCCGACACGGCGGAAGGTGGAGGACAGAGTGCAGAGTTGGCACGTGGAATGTTAGAGGAGGCATGAGAGATAAGACGAATGAGTTGATCGAAATAATGAAAGAAAGAGAATTAGATGTCGTGTGTATGTCGGAGACCAAACGGAAGGGCAGTGGTACTGAAGAGCTCCCTGGCGCGGCGTTAGCTCTATGGTCCGGAGTCCCGGAGAGCGAGAACGCCTGCCAGGGAGTGGGGGTGCTGCTGTCTTCTCGGTTGGTCGATGTTATGACTAAATATAAGTTTGTGAACTCAAGACTTCTCTGGGTTCGCTTTTAATTGGGACTGACGAAGTTATTCCTTTTGGCTGTTTATGCGCCGGTAGCTTCGTCGTCCAGGGCTGAGCTGGAGGAGTTTTGGGAGAATGTAAGAGAAGTTCTAGATTTGGCTAGGGGAAACGAAAGAATTGTTGTATCTGGTGATTTGAATGGATGGGTTGGTACCGCTCGACCAGGGTACGAGTCGGTACTTGGAAAGTTTGGCGATAAAAAGGTTAACGATGCTGGCAAGCTTATACTGGCGGTATGCAAGGAAAAGGGTCTTCTTGTGACAAACACTATGTTTAATCACAAGAAAATCCATATGTATACTAGAGAAAGAAAGAATGAGAGAAGTATGATCGATTTGTTCCTGGTGGATGACCGACGGCGAAAACAGGTTATGGATACGCGAGTGTTCAGGGGTGCTGACCTGGGAACGGATCACTATCTAGTGATTACTAGATTTAGGGGTCTGTTCACGGGTTGGTGCTACCGGACGGCAGTGACAGAACCACAGTCGGTCTGTCGCATCCGAAGCTGGAAGCTTCAGGAAGCGGATACTAGGGACAAATATCATGCGAGGGTAGCCGAAAAGCTTGACACCATCGATGGCAGAAACGAATGTGTAGAAAGAACATGGCAGAACCTTAGGGATGGAATGGTAAGTGCAGCGGAAGAAGTGTGTGGAACAATAAAAAGAGGCAGTAGTAAAAGAAGAGATGCATGGTGGAATGATGAAGTGAAAGAAGCTGTAAAGAATAAGAAGAAAGCATGGTTAGACTACTTGGCCTCTAGTAATGATAAGGATATGAGAGAGAAGATGAAAGAAAGATATAGGCTGCAGAAAGTTCACACGAAAGTATTGATTGAGGAAGTGCGTGAAAGGTGTAGAATGGAAGCGGACGAAAGGTTGTCGCACAACTTTAAGGAGAACTCCAAACTCTTCTGGAAAGAGGTTGGAAGGACCCGAAGTGGTGCGACCGCCTTAAGAATGAACAAAGTGCTTTCGAGAACTAATGACGTCCTCTCAGAAAAATCGGACGTCATGCAGCGATGGAGCGAATTTTATAGAGAAATGTATGCGTGTGATGATCTTAGTGAGGGATCCGGGGATGACGCCGTGACTGGTACGCCAGACCCGGACCTCGATGACACTGAGGTCATCAGTATGAAAGAGATTGAACGTGCGATTCGAAGTTTGAAATGTGGTAAGGCTGCGGGACTAGACAGAGTTACTGCTGAAATGGTCAAGTATGGTGGGCCTCGCGTCTGGGACAGCTTTCATCTGCTGTGCAATTTGTGCTGGCGGACGGGGGATGTCCCGGATAATTGGTGATCCGCAGTCATTGTGCCTTTATATATAAAGGTAAAGGTTCACATTTTGACTGCGGGTGCTATCGGGCGATCAGCTTGACCAGTTTAGCAAGTAAAGTTTACTCGAAGGTGTTGACACGTAGGATGCAAGAGAAATCGGAAAGATTTCTATAGGAGGCACAATGCGGATTTAGACCTGGAAGAGGATGCACGGATCAAATGTTTTCTCTCCGCATGATCACGGAAAAGCTTCTGGCTGCTAACCAGAAGATTTTCTGTGCTTTTGTGGATCTTGAGAAAGCATTTGATAAGGTTGTAAGGAAGAAAATGTGGGAACTGTTGCCGGGGTATGGTGTGGATGGTCGATTGCTAAGGGCTGTGCAGTCTCTTTACTGTGACTGTAAAGCCTGTGTGCGGGTAGGGCATGACCTGTCACCCATGTTTAGCGTCCAAACGGGCGTAAAACAGGGTTTTGTCATGTCTTCCTGGCTGTTCATACTGTATCTCGACAGCTGTTTACAAAAGCTGAAAGATAGCTGTTTGGGTGTGAAATTGGGTGACATTAAAGTAAATTGTCTGCTGTATGCTGATGATGCAGTGCTTATTGCACCATCAGAGGCAGAACTGCAGGCATTAGTCACGTGTATGAAAGAGGAATGTGAAATTAAAGGTCTCCTTTTGAACGCTAATAAAACTAAGGTTCTGGTATTTGAAAGGGACGAAGAGAGAACGAAGTGTGAAATATGGTTAAATCAGGAATGTCTAGAACAAGTAAATGAAATTGTATACTTGGGGAGTGCTTTTAGCCGGGATGGAAGATGTGATTTAGATGTGGACAGGCGTGTCGCTGCCGGGAACAAAGTCAATGGTGCCCTGACTGCGTTAGTCAAAAGGCAAGGCGTAGTGAAGAGTGCACGCCTTGCAATACATAACGCAGTATTGGTACCGACTTTGTTATATGGCAGCGAAACCTGGGTATGCCAGAAGAAGCATAAAAGCAAGTTGAATGCAGTGGAGATGCGATCTCTTCGTAAAATGTGCGGCGTTACCATGGCCGACCGAAAGCGAAACGAAGAGATTCGCAATATGGCAGGTTTGAAAGATGACCTTATCACAAAAATTGATAAGGGCGTGCTTCGGTGGTTTGGGCACGTTGAGCGAATGAGTGAAGACTGAATGGTGAAGAAAATATATAGCGCGAAAGTTAATATTAAAAGGTGTCGAGGTAGACCGAGACTAACTTTCGAAGACCATGTGAGCAAATTGCTCGAAGAGGGTAGGGTCAAGAGTACTCGGATACCTAGACGTGCATGTATGAAGAAGATAATGAATCTGAAAGAAGCGAAAGAGGTATGTAAGGATCGTGACACTTGGCGATCTGTTCTCTCTGGCTACCCCGTCAGGGATTGTGCGTGAAGGTAAGTAAGTAAGTAAGTTATTCATATTTATGTATGTTTACCATTTTCATTTACAATTATATATTTATACTGCCCAACCAGATGAGAAAACTTTATAGATACCCCAAAAATATAATAATAACATGACATGTTTCTGAAAAACAAAAATGAGTATAAGTTACATATTTTATTACATTTATAAGAGTTAGAATTACAATAGAAAATAGAATAAGTTACTTTATTATTTAAATATTTCATTTAAAGTACTTACTCCAAATTTCAGCTAAAGAAACAAACGTGCTCTTTATAGAAAGTACTGTAGCGAAATGACGTGATCGCGTGTTGTAAGATGAGAATTGTATAATTTAGAGAATAAGCATAATATACTCAGGATTTGTAAGATCAGAATAGCATTATTTTGCAAAGTAAGCATAGATCTACTAAGAAATTTGTAACACGAGAATAGGAGAACATTTAGCAGAACAGACATGATGTGACATGCATTTCTCTCTAATATTGTTCATGTAAAATTTAAATATATACCTATGTTTGTAGGCTAGTAACTCATTCAATAAGCACGATGAAGTTGATCAAACAACCCATATCGCTAAGCGTTAGCAATATTAATATTGATCACTCTGCTCACAAGATCAGACATAGCATTCTCCTACCAAATACCATTCGCTGTATAATATGCGGTCCCTCTAATTGCGGTAAAACAAACGTTGTAATAAGTTTATTGTTGCATGAAAATGGGCTTAAATTTCAAAATCTTTACTTGTATTCAAAAACTAACTATCAACCAAAATATCGTTTTTTACGAAAAGTAATTAAGAGAGTACCTAATAATTCATTTTATGAGTTCAATGATAACAAAGACGTTATAGGTCCAAGTGAAGCTTTAAACAATTCTGTATTTATTTTTGATGATGTTGCTTGTGAAAATCAAATCAACATTCGTAATTATTTTTCTATGGGCAGGCATAAGCAAATCAATTGCTTTTATTTATCTCAGACCTACTCAAAAATTCCGAAATAATTGCTACGAGACAATGCCAATTTTATTATAATATTTAAACAAGATGATGTGAACTTAAAACATATTTATGAAGAACATGTTAGTTCTGATATGTTATGGAATCAATTTAAAAATATTTGTAATATAGTTTGGAGTAAGCCGTATAATTTTGTTTGTATTAACAAAGACTCACCGTTAAACAATGGCAGGTATAGAAAGAATTTTGATATTTTTTTAACCTAGAGTAAACTATTATAAACGGGTTTTTTAGATAAAACTATTTAGTTTTATTGTGGCCGCCATAGAATGAAATATTGTAAAGCATTATGGAAAAGCAAATTAAAATGGAAGTAATGTAGTCTGTGGACTCCAAAAAGAATAAAATAAAAAAAAATAAAAGAAAAATAATGAGCATGAACTGAACTTATCCCTAGATAAAATGCTAAAACCTGTTACAGAGCCCCTTAAAATCATAATAAATAAGCAAAAACCAAATCAAGACCATAATTTATCGATGCAATCATGCGCCAGTTCTGCTGGATCATTTGAATCGGAATTTCAGAACTATTACGATGCTGACTTGAGTTCTGCAGAATCCCCAAAAAATGAAATTAAAGACAATTTAGAGGCTTTATTAGATCGGAATTATATCTATGATATTTACGATGATAAATTAAATATACCATTTGGGATAAGAAAAGAAAAGAAAACTTACATGATGGGAAATTCAGAAGTTACTTTTCTAAAATTGACACTTTGAAAAACGAAACTGTATTTTTAGTAAAAATTGGAGACAAATCTTACTATTTAACTATCGGGTTAAGAGAACTTCTACTTAGAAAAAAAACTGATTTGAATTTAGTATCAAGCGCTGATAAACTCGTGTACAAAGATATTCTATACCATACTAACGCTCATAAGAGAGATTTTAACCCTAGAGGTCAAATAAGAGGTGATAAGGGAATTAAATATCGAAAAATAATTAAACCATTATTTTCCGAGACCTTAATCAAATATAAAAAAATCGAAGAAAAGCTTGGAGGTAATTTACCTAAGCTTAAGAAATATAAAATCAAAACTGATATTGTATATTGGGACGATCCAAATGAATTAGTTGATAGATTAAAACTTTTAATAGCTTCAAGAGATGCGGGCAATACAAATCATGATAATGAAATTTTATCGATCATTGAAGAATTAAAAGAAGCTAACATTATAAAGGAATAAAACTTTTACTCAGTATTGGTGAAGTTGCTCATGTTGCAAATTACTAAAAAATTGTCTGTATTTATTTAAGTAACAAGCAGCATAAACGGATTATTTTTAATAACTACCAACATAAGAATAAAATAAAATACATTATTTTTTTGAAAATGAGTAAAGCCGATGTAGTAAATGAAATTCATAGAAATGCTAGGGTGAATTTACCACGTAGAAATGTTATTACGAAAGATATAGATGATTTATGGCAAGCAGACTTAATTATATCAATTAAGTCTGCTTAATTGATATGCAATCAGTTTCTAAGGAAAACAAAAACTTCAGATTTATTCTTACCGTTATTGATACATTTTCGAAATACGCTTGGGCTTTTCCAATTAAGACTAAAAGTAAAGAGGACGTATGCTATAATTTTATGAAGCTCCTAAAAACACGTAAACCCAAAAATCTGCAAACCGACAATGGAACAGAATTTTATAACGATAAGTTTAAAAAAAATATGAATTCTTATAACATTAATCATTACTCAACCTTTTCAACAAAGAAGGCTTCCATAGTTGAACGATTTATTCGAACTTTGAAATCTAAATTATATAAAGCATTTAGTTTACAGGGTGATTATAACTGGATAGGCGATACTCTTAATAATGTTATTTACGAATACAATCACACTTATCATCGAACTATTGGTGAAATTTCAGCCAATGTTAATAATAAAAGTAAAAAACGAATACTACAGAGATATCTTAGATTGGTAAAGAATGATAATGTAAAACGTAAGTTTAAAGTAGGTGATTATGTGCGTATAAGCAAATACAAAGGTACATTCGAAAAAGGATATACTCCAAATTGGTCGACAGAAATATTTAAAATTCGAAAATTAAAGAACACAATTCCAACCACTTACTTAATTGAAGATACAATTAGAGGTTAACCAATTTTAGGAGGATTTTATGCGCAAGAGCTACAAAAGACCAAAAATTCAAACATATATTTAGTCGAAAAAGTTTTAAGAAGGAAAGGAAATAAAGTTTTAGTAAAATGGCTAGGTTTGTCTTCTAGTGAAAACAGTTGGATCGATAAGTCAAATATATTGTAATAGCCTTACTGACCACTGTGTTAACATTAAGAACAAATAAGAAAAAATGGTATATTTAATAAATATCCCAAGCGCGATTAAACAGTCTTATGATGTGCATTGGTGAGAGTATTTGGTTGATTAATTTACCATTTGAATTACATTTACCGGGATACAATTATTGTGGTCCTAGTACAAATTTAATCAAAAAACTATCACGTGGAGTCAAAGGTATAAACAAATTAGACGAATATTGTAAAGAACACGACATTGCGTATCACAAATATTCAAACTTAAAAGGATCGACATAAAGCGGATCTAGTTTTGTTAAAAATGGCAAAAACACGAGAGATTGCTCCCGATGTAAATTTGGGAGAAAAGTTAGCAGTAAAGATAGTAATCAAAGCTATGCAATCAAAAATTAAAACTGGGGCTGGCCTAAATAATGGCAATAGTAATAAAATGTCTCCGAGAAAGTTGGGGAATGAATTTAAAAATAAGTTTAAGAATATCATTACAAAAACGAAAAGATGTATGCAAAAATTAAAACCAAAATGCAAGAAAGCAGCAATTGAGATAGCTATAGCTGCTGCTATAGAACTAGTTGATAATTCTGTTATAAAACTTCCTCGCATTATTCCTATACCAAAAACTGGTGGGGTACTACCTTTGATTCCGAGTTTTGCCGGATTATCGGCTACGGGAGCCTTAGCAGGTGGTGCAGCTGGTATACTTAAAACTATAAATGAAATCAAAATGGCTAAAAAACAATTTGCTGAATTGAAGAGACACAATGAAAAACTGGAAGCTCTTTGTATCGGAAATGGGTTACAGTTTAAGCCTCATAAAAATGGATTTGGCATTTTTGTATCTAAAGAAATAAAAAACTAGAATATAGGCTACCCAAACGCACCTTAACTAACATAACATAAAATAGTCCCTATTTTCGAGGTGTCTTTATGAGAGATGAACTCCCAACACACCCTTTTAAAAAAGAATGTGGAGTTATAAATTTAGATATTTCCTCAAATCCGGGATCTCATTGGGTAGCCTATATAAAATTTAATAATTATGTTGAATATTTCAACAGTTATGGAAATCTTAAACCTCCAATGGAATTGATAAAATATTTAGGTCCTAAAGTCTACTATAATTATGATAACATACAGCTTGATCATCCTATTAATTGTGGACATCTTTGTTTGATTTTTTTGGAGAATTTTTGGCGCAATCAAGACATAAAATAAACAAGAACTTCATAAATTGCTCAGTATACAAGCATGTCTATAACAGTTACTATCTCAGGAAATAAATCAGAATTGGATTCCTACTTTCAACCGCCTCTGAGTTTATCAGGTCAATACGAGTGCGGTTTACTATATTTTTCAGTAATAAACTCAACAACAAAATATTCTTATAATCTTAATCGAATGTGATCTCATATACGGCTCATATTGCAACGGATTACCTACTCATATTATTCACGAATTTGTATCTAAAACTGCTGCAGATAATCAATACACAAAAATACCTCAGAACGTTATTTACTTCCCAGTGAATAAAAATAATATTACATCTATAACTATTAAAGTTTTAGATCAATTTGGCTACAGAATTAATTTCAAAGAACAATATATTAACATTCGCCTCCATTTGAGGAAAGTAAAATGATATTGCACTAAAAAACCCTACAGTCTACTTAAAGCGCCCTATTACTTCTACACTCACTAAGGTGCGAAGACGTGAGAAAAAATTTAAGACCTTGAGTAAAAATAATAAAGATTTTCTAAAGTCCTTAGGATTTAAAGTATGAATATACTACAGACATAGATTACCTACTACAGATTAATGACTTACCAAACTTCGATACTTCTATTGAAAGTTATGAAGTCCATTCTTATAATCCATATAATAATAGCTTTAGAGAAAACGATGAAATAAGAATTCCCATACATCAGCAAGACATATATGTATTACCATCAGCCAGTTCAATTTACATCGAAGGTCGTGCAAAGTTCTTCAGTAAAGATGGAAACCATATTAAAAAACCTGTTCCGTTCAATAATAATCCTATTATGTTCTTGTTTCAAGACATAAGGTATGAGATAAATGGAATCGAAACAGGTCGTATTAAAATGCTGGTATAACGTCAACAATTAAATCATACATTTCAATGAATGAAGCAGAAAATAAAGTAGCAGCTTTGTGGGGTTGGGATATGGATGGATTTAAAAGTGAAAACGGTGATTTTATTGCTACTGTACCTTTAAATAAGATTTTAGGGTTTGCAGAAGATTATGCTAAAATTGTAATAAATTGTAAACATGAACTTATACTGAACAGAAGTAATTCTAACATAAATAGTATTATAGGAACTGAAATTGTTGCACATTTTCAAATAGACATACAAAGAATACAATGGCGAGTGCCACATGTGAAAGTATCAGATCGTGAACGACTGAAACTTCTTAAATATTTAGAAAGAGATAAACCTATACAGATGGCATTTAGAAATTTGGATTTATATGAATACCCTTTACTTCCTACAGCAACTAAGCATTCCTGGTCTATTAAGACTGCGTCACAATTAGAGAAACCTCGATATGTAATTTTTTGTTTACAAACAAATAGAAAAAATCAAAAAATGAAAGACTGTTCAGTATTTGATCACTGTGGAGTGTGAAATGTGACATTGTTTTTGAATTCACAATATTACCCATACGAGCCCTTATGTTTAAAGTTTTCCGAAAACAAATTTAATATATTATACGAAATGTATGTGAAATTTCGCCAGTCGTACTACAACTGTCCCGCAGACCCATTGCTTGATTTAAGTAGCTTTAAGGAGAAGGCTCCGCTATTTGTGATAGATTGTTCAAGACAAAACGACAGTCTAAAAACGGGACCCGTAGATGTTCGTTTGGAGATTGAATGTACAACGGCAATACCAGAGAAGACAACTGGATATTGTTTAATCATTAACGATCAACTTGTGGAATATAAGCCTTTAAGCAACATAGTGCGCAAGTTGACATGACTACTATCGTAGATGTCCAAGGTTTCAAAACAGAAAGAAATGAATTCATAGTGAAGGGAGTAACACCTTATTTAAATTATCAGAATTTGATTGCAGATAATATAAAGGATAAATATATATTCGTCAAAGGTTTAGAAAAAGTTTATGGTTAAAATCCATCTTATAAAATGATAATATAATTAATTTAGAAGATAAAGGCTGTCCTAGTTTGTTAAATCTGTATGATCGATATAAAGATTGTAAAGATTTTTATATTTGTATTAATCACGACTCAGTGTGTGCTTTGAAAAATGTTTTTTGTTTAAATAAATGGTGCTCTGATAATTACATTTGAAATATTCTTTATTTTATTTCATAAAAAAACTCTCCAACAGCAACTTTTTTAAATGTTTATAAGGAATCAGCGCAGCTTTGCAGCTTCATTATACTCTTCCAACCAGCAAGATCAAACCTCCACAAAGCATGAGGGACATGTCTCAAAACGAATACAGACCCCGATATAGTTTATATGATTCATATAAAACACGCTTATTTTCATTTAGCCATTATTGGGCAACGAGTGATTTAAGAGAAGCAGTGGTGAATGAAATGGCTGATGCGGGATTCTTTTATTTTGGCGATAGCATAAATGATACAGCTGCTTGTTTTTCCTGTGGAGAAGTTATTAGAGATGGGAGATTTACGATGATCCGAGAAGACATCTGCTTAGTTAAAAAAAATGAAAAAGTAGGAAATCGCTGTGAGTTAAAAGTGATACAGAATTGAGAAGACATCTGCTTGGTTAAAAAAATGGAAATGTAGAGCTGTTTAGTGTAATATTGGGTCGAACTGCATCGCGAACGGATGTGAGTGATGCAGCAGCCCAATATTACCCTACTGATGTTTGTCCTTGTTCAATTTATGTTTGTACACTGCGCCCACAATACAAGAGAAAATCCTAGTGTGAAGGTTACGTTTTAAAAAAGAAAGAAAATAATTTAGAAAGCAAATCAGTATCATTTTTCAGTATTCTAAAATCGTTCACTCATAGAATTACTATTTTTAGGTCCTCGGTACTTGTTGTCTCAGTAAAATAAACTAATGATTTAATACGTCCCCATAAAAACAGTCAAAAGGCGTCAAATCAGGTGATCTGGGAGGTCAATGGCCTGGCCGCCACGACCTTTATAAGGCATTCCAAACTCTGTATTTGTAAAGACTTTAACATACTTGAAATAAGGCTCAATTTTCTTTATTTTGTATTGAATGACGGAATTTGCATTAATACAAATAAAACTGCACTTTTAAAAGTCTTATTGCCTTGAGTTACGGTCCATTTCAGTTTCTTTGACTGTACAGGTTTAATGTGACTGTAAATTACGTAGTTTCAATTATTTTTGGGATAAAAAAATTACCTATATTAAAAATGATAGAAATCGATTCAGTAAACGATTCTGATCAAACTACTTCCTCAAAGTGCGTTAATTATGTTATGTGTTGTATATATAAAGATATGTGATGCATTCGTGTTTATGTCCATCAGAGGAGAATAACCATACGCAAGCGTTCTCTTATTTCAATGTATAAGCAGTTTAAATCCACGCAGTCGTAAGCATACAATAAAACTAGTTGCAGCCGCACTGTTCACTAGACTAAATCTAGTTACGCAGCTGAATAAACTTTTTTTTTAAGTAATTAGTGTAATTTTGAGCAAATGCTGTTGCCGGTAAACATCTACATTTATGCTCAATTAAGAATGAAAATGCCAATACATTTTCACCCCTGAGGACTAAGATGTAATTTCTCGTTTCCAGTAAAATGGGTCTCCACTTCTCTACATTCGCCATACGAAACACAGCAGTATTAAGTATTAAGCTGCTGTGTTTCGTATATTTTACGCTGGTATTCTGTGAGAGCGTAGTCCTACACCGGTTGTGCCACCCATTCGCGGTACAACTAATATAGCTACAGTGTGCTTCTACCACGTTTTACAAAAATGCTGAATTGTTTAGTTTTTTGCTGCAAAAAGAGACCTGCCACGTAAAATTTATAAGAAGATAGCGTTACCTTTCATAATTTATTTATTTATTTTATTTAATTTTATAAGTAATTTAAATCACATTCTTGCTATTTACTTCTTTTTTAACTTAAAAATTACAATAATAACGGTCATGTTGTTTCGGATTTATGTACCAACACAGGCCGCTCGCCCTCATACAACATGCAGATCAGTCCAGCGACTGATCCGAGTCTATTTTCGAGTTGTAGCTGTCATCGAGCGATACTGTTATAATGTATTTATGTGTGTGTGAAATTGTTAGTTTATTGTTTTAATTGTTATGTTGAGTTTCGTAGTGACTGGCAATCGTTTCTGTGTGCGCTGATTTCCCCCCGCAAAAAATTACAGTTTTGTAGCGGAGAATAACCATAAATAAAACAAAACACACGACTGCTCTCCGCACTCGTCGCACATCGTATAAGTGCCCTAAGCCCAAGCCCACTAAGGGAGTAAGGTGGACTGGCTCCACTGTGACGCCCTAATTAGGGACCCTTACTGCCTTACTCTTATTACTCCTCTCTTATTAAGGGTTTAGGGACCCTGATTCAGTGTAGTGTAATATGAAAAAATAAGTATTTTACGTGTAGAGCCATGCTGCAGCTATATTAATAGTATAGTTATAGCACAAATGGGTCGGCTCGACCGGGGACGGACCACGCACTCACAGAATACCAGCCTAAAATAGCAGTTCAATGCTGATGTATTTCGTATGATGAGTGTAAAGAACCGGAGAAAAGGGTCTCCGGTTCTACTGGAAAAGAGGCATTCCATCTTAGTCCTCACGGGTGACAACGCATCTGCATTTTGATTCGCAAACGAGGATAGATGTAGATGTCTATGGGCCACAGCAACCACTTACCATCCGGTGGAGTGTGTGCTCGTTTGTCACCCTATCCTATAAAAAAATAAATTATATATTCATTCATTTGACAACGTCAACTTTTCAAATAGTGTTGTCTTCTATAGCGTAAAATTACCCTCTAGTTTTTAGGGAAAGAACATTTGTGTTAGTGTTGTTTTTTTTTTGTGTTACTTAATAATAAGCTTAATTAAAATACGATATGGAATATACCAACAATGATTAGCGATAAAAAAATGTAAGATTATCGTTCTAGCATACGTCTAAAATATTACTTTAAGTCAATAACTGTCTAAACGTTGGTAATGTTTTTATTTTGTGTAAACATTTATCAATGCTAGAAGGACATAAAATACAAAACTTGGTGCCTCTCTTTCTAAGAAAAATGAGGAACGGTTACAATGTTCCAAGCGCTCACTCCCTATATTATATTATAACCTCCTTGGTGGTTTATAGATGCTACTTTACTTATGCTTTTGTATTCAACTTTGAAACCATGGAGTATAGAGTAGAAGGACGACCATCTCTGTATAAGAATAAGTGTCCGTAAAAACGCGTCCAATAAGGGTGGTGCTGCGGTAGTATAGGATAAATTAAAAAAAAAGCGCCAAAAGTAATTGGTATAAGATGGAGAAATTATCAAGGACCGACCAATCCGCGTGGTTTTGTACTACGTAAATAGTTGAGGTTTTGTATACTGACATTTTACTAACCACTCTAGTGATGAAAATTTTTAAATATTTGAATTCAGACGCCAGCGCTATTGTGTTAGGTTTTGGAACCTCTATTTTCAGTATAAAGTTGGACACTTTTTCAACTTTCCCCTCATATGAGATGGTTCTCCTTCTACTCTATACTCCATATTTGAAACATAAAGCAACACGGACCGCCGACGTACCGGACGTTGCTCTATGAGTTTGAAATGGTAAATAAATTTTAAAAAACTAGTTAGTCTGTGCCAAAGAGAATAAATCACTTGGTCTGTGCCACAGACCACAGCACAGAACACAATTACCATGAAGTTATTCTTTATCTATAACTTCATGACAATTACTCTTCTTCTTCTTAATAACTTGGTTTACGGCTCTGGGTTCTAGCCCTTCCGAGCCTGAAGTTACAATGCATTATAATTATCCTTCATAGTACACTGCTTCACAATATGTGGTTGCGTCACATTGTGCAGCTCTTGGGAGATTTTGACGGCAACTTGAGCCAGCAAACAGCTGACGACTGGCGATGGTATCTCAAGGCGCCTAAGCAGACTGACACCTTATTTTTAGAATCACATTACCATCAGAGCACTTGTTTCACCGTTTCCACTAATAGTTCACATGCGGAGACACTTAATACACAAAATCGCACCACTTTTACATATCAAAGTCTACTTCAAACCATTATTTAAACAATAATACAGGAGCAACAAACCGCCGCCGGTCAATTTCCCGCCAAAACTCCTCACAATTACTCTCTACTAAGAGGACCACAGAGTATATTTTATTTGATTTTAGTTTTAGCCATAGATTACTGTATATATACTGGAGGTGGGCAAAGTGTATCATTTTTGCGATTGGAACATTTGCATCTCGATCACTGAAATGTTCCGAAACACTGATAAGTTTCATTTGGATCATCGACTCAAAAGATATAAAAGAAAGTATGTTCCGAATAGGTACATTAAGTTGCGTCGCGGGCGTTTATTACTGACTGATCCGTGAAATGTTATGTGACAACAATGCTGAATAATATAAGTGCTTAGGTTATTTATTGTGTACCGTAATAAGATTGTATATAAAATCGATTCTCCTTCATACTTTAACAAAAATGTCACTATGTCAATTCATTATTTACAAATAGTCGTTTCTGCGAACGGGTTAATCCCAGTCAGCCTCTCGGGTCATCTGAGGCGACTGGGACTCCGTGACGGACCGCTCCAAGCTCAAATGCATCGTCCGCCGGTTTTTTTCCCTTTCCCCCTAACCCTCGGCCGTTTGGTCTCCCCTGCCGAGGGCTTCCGTCTGGTTGGGTTTTTATTTATTTATGTATTTTTTATGCATTTATTTTATTTTGTTGATATTTATGTATGTTTATCATTTTCATTTACAATTATATATTTATACAGCCCAACCAGATGAGTAAACTATATAGATGCCCCAAAAATAGTAATTAAAATTATATATATAAAAATATTATATAGGTATGTACCTATATATATTATACTAGGCTGAAATAAAATTATTCCTTTGCCTATATCCAATTCATATTTTTAAAAAAACGAAATGTCATGTTCTGATTTGCACTACGGTTTTTTTTTTGGAGTTTATGGCCTGGCATCTAGACCTTTAGGCCATGCACTACGGTCCAAACTAAATGTCATAGATAAGAGTGTATATACTGAAACTAAATGTACCAGAGACGTCCGTCTGAACGCGTAGTGTTTCTATATAGTTTGTGGTTTTAGCAAAGCAATGCAATGCACTATTGGTATTGGTTTTATTTATAATCGTTTTCGACTGAAGTCTTTTTTAATAATAAAAATTGTACGATAATTTTTAATTATTGAATTTCATTATACAATTATGGCGCAAACAGTAAATTAATAAGTGTACATAGCTATACAATTTCAAGCTTCGGATTAATATAACCAATGCAGAATGTACATGAACAACTATTAGATAATTGAAAAAATGGCTGGTTTTGGAGATTATACTGGATATAATCGACCTTTCGGTTTGGATCCAAACAGGGAAACGAACGACTTGTATGATACCCGGTATCAACAGATATATGGTTACCACACTCCTGTAACAGAGGAATATCAAGGCCCACCACTGGTTATGGATGATATTCCTGAAGAAGGTAACTATTTAGGGTCAATTTTTTAAATTCACTTGTTTATATTTACTTACTTACTTACTTATCTTCACGCACAATCCCTGACGGGGTAGCCAGAGAGAACAGATCGCCAAGTGTCACGATCCTTACATACCTCTTTCGCTTGTTTATATTTAATGTTTTTATTTAAAATTTCCTCCATAATAATATATACATACATTTTCAATTATTCTTTCAGAAAGTAACACCTTTGTTACTACCTCAATCAGTGTAGCAAGTCTTATTACAGAGAATTTGTTGAGTCATCCATTCATAGTCCTAAGACGGCAGTGCCAGGTAACTTTTAGTTTATAATTATCTTAAATTTATACACATTTTCACTGATATATGATAATAAATTAGTACCACTATAAGAAAAGTGTAATGAACGGTTTGGCTATAGATATCTGGTACTTGATTTTAATTATGTTTTGTTAAGCTTGAACCTTTTACACTGTTTTTGAATTTCGGAAATGTGTTTTAATTAATCACAGTAAAAATAAATTTCACTAACTAAAAATTGCATATAACAAAACGGGTCACCCATAAAAAAGTTAATTAGTCGTACTCAGACAATCCATTTGTGGCTGCAGATGGGACTCATACACAACAAATTGAATCATGGAGAATAGTCTAAAGGTTTTTCAGAAAACAAAAGTATAACAATCCACACAACATTGTTTCATTTACCACTATCATAACAGTGTTTAGGGCACCCTAACTTTATAGATAAAATAGGTTGAATCTGTACTAAAACCGATTCAGAACGCCTCGACTCCACATAGTCTTGTCTGCCCTACCCCTAGTGTTTTTGTAAAGTCGTAGACACAGAGGGAGAGCAGCCCTCGCCTGCTGTACCAAATCACAGGCACCTGTCTAAGCCGTAGTGGCTGAGGCTGGTCACCGAAAGCGACCAATATGCCAAAGCTGTGGACGTGATCATGGATGCCTGTGATTTGCTATGCAAGGGTGAAGGGGCTGCACTCCCCGTAGTGCCGAAGCCATTGCAAAAGTAATTTTCAGTCAATATTCATGTGCCAAAAAGTGAGAAGTAGAGTCTTATCCGACACTATTCCGAAGATATCCCGGATGTCAGTCTGAGCGAGATTAGAATGGCTCTCCAGCACCTTAAAACGGCAAGGCCCCAGGCGAGGATGGAATTACAGCGGAGCTTCTGAAAGCGGGTGGAAGACCGGTACTTGAAGTCCTTCAGAAGCTCTTTAATTCCGTCCTCCTTGGTGGCATTACGCCGGAGGCGTGGAGCAGAAGTGCGGTGATCTTGTTCTTCAAGAAAGGTGTCTCTTGAAGAACTACAGACCGATTTCCCTTCTGAGCCACATCTATGTGCTGTTTTCGAGTCATTACGAATCGTCTCGCGCGCAGACTTGACGACTCCAGCCTCCCGAACAAGCCGGTTTCCGAAAGGTCTTTAACACCATATACCACATACCATACCCTTCGGCAAATTGTACAGAAGTCTGAAGAGTACAATTTGCCACTATGTCTGGCGTATGTGGACTATGAGAAAGCCTTTGATTCCGTCGAAATTTGGGCGGTGCTGCAGTCCCTTCAGCGGTGCCAAGATGACTGTCGGTGTATCGAAGTGCTGAAGTGTTTGTACAGTAGAGCTACGATGGCTATCTGAGTACAGAACCAGAGTATGAAACCTATCCAATTGCAGAGAGGTGTAAGACAGGCTGATATTATATCCTCGAAACTCTTCACCGCTGCATTGGAAGACGTTTTCAAGCTTCTGGACGGGAAAGGATACGGTATTAACATCAATGGCGAGTACATCACTCACCTTCCATTTACCGACGATATAGTCCTTATGGCAGAATCGCTGGAGGACCTAAGCACCATGCTCAATGACCTTAAAAGGGAAACTACGACACATATTCTCGTCAGACATGCCTCAAAACCTTAAAATGAAATTGTACAACAATTGTGCGTGTTGCCAGTGATGACTTACGGATCTAAGACGTGGTCCTTCACTGCTGGCCGTATGAGGAAGCCCAAGGTCACTCAGTGAGCTATGGAGAGGGCTATGCTCGGGGTTTCTCTGCATGATAAACTTAGAAATGAGTATATCCGCAGTAGAACCAGAGTAACCGACATAGCCCAATGGATTAGTAAGCTGAAGTGGCAGTGGGCCGGCCATATAGCTTGAAGAACCGACAACCGATGGGGAAGAAAGGTTCTTGAGTGGCAGCCTCGTACCGGTAGGCAAAGTGTAGGGCGACCCCCCACGAGATGGAGTGACGACCCGGTAAGACATGCAGGAAGTCGATGGATGCAGGTGGCTCAGGACCGTGCTTTGTGGCATTCCTTGGGGGAGGCCTATGTTCAGCAGTGGACTTATGAAAGGCTGTAATGATGATGAAATAATATTTATTTAAAATATTACTGGCTGCTTAGACATTATTTTAAAATAGTAAAAAAAAATCATTTAATAAAGGCAAAAAACGATTGCTTATGTTATTGTGGCTCTTTTTAATTTTTATAATTTTTTAAAACCAGGTGAACCGAAGTCTTAAGAACTACCACATAGTTCCATACACGTTACTGCCAGTTGTTGTGAAATTGCACAGAAGGCAAGAATTAACAACACTGTGGAAAGGGATTGGGTCTACTTGTATTGTGAGAGGTCTCAACTTGGCTGTGGAAGATTTAATATCAAAGGGTACTGGTTGGCCCAAGTTAGTATAAGATGTTTTTATGATATTTTGTAATAGTTAATAATGGGATACATTATATTCAGTGAAAGAGGAAAATAATATGCCATATAGTGGCATCATAAGAAAGTTCACTGCCCCCCATATTGCCATATGGGCATCGCAATGGCAGCAGAAACTGCAATAGAAAATGGGCAGCAGCATCTTCCTTACAACAGCTAAAATTAATGAAAACTGCAGGGCCAAGCGTGGCAACTATGGCAAAATCCCCTCTCTGTGGCAGAGACCTATGTTAAGCAGTGGACTTTTAAAGGGTGTAATGGTTGGATAAATAATAGGATAGTGAATATATTTTTTTTAACTTAAATGTCTCAATTCAAAACAAGTCTTGACTATTTTGTGAGTGTGGCTGAAGGTTATTTTTAAAAGTAGTTGTTTATGTGTTTTGTAAGTATATTCTTAATTTGTTGTATATACTCCTAATACATTTTTAAATAAAATGTGATTAATGAGCACACAATCCACCTGACGATAAGTGAATGCTGTGGCCCATAGACATCTACAGCTATCCTTGATTAAGAATCAAAATGCAGGTGCAGAGTCACCTCTTGAGGACTAAGATGAAATGCCTTGTTTCCAGTAAAAATGGGAACCGGAGGTTCTCTACACTCACCAAACAAAACAGCATTAAGCTGCTATTTTATGCTGGTATTCTGAGAGCATGGTCCTTCTCCAGTTGAGCCGATCCATTTGTGCCACAACCATATATAGCTCAACTGCTCTACCACTTAAAAATATCATAATATTATGATAATTGATCATATTATGTCAGGTGCAAGGATTAACTTAAATTTATGTATTGTATTATATTATAATTGTGAATTTATTTTTTAGAGAAATTGGGAAGTGTAACTCCGTTTTGCAATTTCTTCAACACATAACTTTAAAATGGTAAGAAAAGTCATAGTTATAAAATTACACAATATGTGATTAAATAGTGGCATATTGTGTATTTTGATTAATTATTGGAACTTAATTGTTTTATAAGGCATGTCTAATACCAAATCTCTTCTTCTAGCATTAGCCTAGCCATAATAACCCCATTTTATTCTGCAAGTTTGGTAGAGACAGTTCAAAGCGATATTGCTAGTGACAAACCAGCTTTGCTAGATGTGTTTCGGGAAGGATTTGTGCGAATTCTTGAATGGGGGACACCAAGCAAAGGAAGAATGCTGCCAATTTGGGCCATTGTTTTGCCAACGGCTGGTTTAGGAATATCAAAGTATCTAGCACAGTATGTATTACTATTATATCATAGACATATGAATGATTTATAAAGATAACCTTCTTAATCATTTTTATCTTTACTTTACAGTTTATTGCTAAGAAAAATTTCAATTAAAGCACTACGGTTCCAGCAAAGACACCGTCATGAATTAAGTGATTCATACAACTCAAACTACCCAAAGAACACACAAAATCCCTTAATAGAAGATATTAATTTAAAAGCAAACATTTTTTCTTTTATTACAATGGAAATTCTCTTCTATCCCATAGAAACAATCGTACACAGACTTCATATACAAGTAAGAAATTGATTTTGTTTATTGATTTTCAAAAGTTAATGTAATTGCCTTATAATGATGAACTATCGTCGCTAGCCCTAAACAAGCAAAATGTTAATCTTATTTAACTTTATGGCCAATTCTAAACAGTATAATTGTTGACTGGATTAAAAAACTCCACAACTGAACATAATGTATGTGTCCATCATAGCACAGTTTAAAAAGTCTCAGTTGGGAAACTAATGTAATTGTGCAGAGCAACGGCGTGGGCCTTGCTGGGCAGTGGGTGATGCGACTTTATGCCAGCGCACTACACTAAGTCTGCTGTACAATATATGCGGTTGATGCGAGCATGTTTTATAAAACTTATTTTACAAGGAATAATCAAATCTATAATGGTGAATTACTGTTGTAGTTATATGAGGTACTAAGTAAAGTTGACTTCAAATGACAGCTATGCTTATGTTCCACTTATTTTTCTTTTATAAAGTAAACTAGCTGTTCCCTGTGACTTCGCCCTCGTGTAATTTAGGGTTTTAATTATGTTGCGCAAAACCCTAATTCTTTTTCTAAAATATAAGTAGCCTAAGTTACTCCTTATAACATCAGCTATAATGTTTATCTATCTATCTATCTTTATATCTGCCAGTGAAAGTCCCGTCGAAATCGGTCCAGCTGTTTTGGAGATTAGCCGGAACAGACAGACAGACAGGCAATAATTATAAAAATTGTGTTTTTGTTATAAGTACCGTATATATTTTCATATGCATTTAGTAAAAAGCTGTTATTTGGACATTACAAACAGATACTTCAATTTTATTTATTTGTATATACAACTTCCTCACTCTAAATGATCTTTTGCAATAAATATTTTTAACTTATAAGTATGTACATAATGTTAATAAATGATATGAGCATTATAATATACGAAATTATTTTATTCCCAAATTCATGGCAACCACTAGCACATTTACTACTACTGCGTAAATAGTAAATACCTACGCGGGCGGCGGCATCGCCTGACATCAAAGGCGTTTCATATCTGTTGGCTTTTTAACACTTTCACTGTCCGGTTTCCAGACACAATAGTAAGACAATATCAGTGCCCTATATGTAGTGCATGGGACAGCGAAAGGGTTAAACTGTGATCATAGTGTATATATTGCTAAAAGGCATACTACCTACACCCTGTCCCTGTATGCTTTGTCAGGCCATCCCTTGTGTCTAGTGTGTATACTGCACTTGTCTGTATAAGGCTGCCAATCAGAAACTTTCATTAATCAAGATATAATAATATAACTTGCCCACAGCAACTTGGAACGTATTGATCAATTAGGGTTTGTCGGTTATTATTGTCTATTGCAGATATTCTCATACTGGTTGTCTGACCATTTTATAGACCTTTGCATAATTATCAAGTGACTGAACTTTTTAAAATGGAACCATATCTTGCATCGAAACAAAACTAAATATTTTTAAACATAAATTTAATTTTCAGGGCACTAGAACAATCATAGACAACTTAGATACAGGTACTTCAGTGACACCCATACTTACCGGATACGAGGGATTTATGGACTGCTACAACACAACCATTGCAAAAGAAGGTGTGTCAGGTTTATACAAAGGCTTTGGTGCATTGGTTTTGCAATTAGCTGCACATTTGGCCATAATAAAATTAACTACAATAGTGGTGTCTGAGGTTTCTAATCTCTTAAAGCCAGCAAATACTCCAACCAACTCTGAAGGATCAGTTCATTCTCAACAAAAATATCTATTTAATTAGTTGGCTATTTACCATGCAAATCACAAATTATGATATTTAATACTGTAAAAATATAAGATTTTAGTGTTCAGTTATCACTTCTCTAGTATTTGGCAAATAGAATATTTATAACATTGAGTTATTGCTAGTGTAGGCAACTATGGTTCAATGTATTTTTATTTTTTATATAAATTATCATTTAGGTATAAGTAAATAAGCACAGGCTTCAATGTAAGTTGTTATGTTTTCAAAAAAATCAGTTTGAAATAAAAGATTTAATATTATCTGTCTTGGTTTTATTTCATTATTTACTAAACTATGTACATTTTCACAAAACTGAATTAAACACTAGTGGGTTAAAACAAATCGGCCTTTTAATAATCTGCGCATAATAACCCTACGACCATTAGGGGTTGACATTCTTGTATTCCAGCCATGACGACGTACTCTTCTAACTTCATTAGGACGTGGAAAGTAACAGCGCACTTTATTTCTAATAGTTGTTACTAAAAATGACTCTGGTTTCACAAGGCTATTACTTTGCAAAACTTGAGAAACAGAATGGTACCCTTGGACGAAGCATCTGAAAGATTATATTTTAAAGTCAAAGATAATAATTTTATTCAGTATTTACCTTTGCAAAGAACTTTTCGACGTCGAAAGCTAAGCCGACACTGCAACTAGTTTGTAGTGTGGAAGACTGATACGAAGTGGCAAGAACCTCAGATGCAGACAATTTTTCCTCCCAACAGTTACAATTTTTAATTTGATAATCACCATTTTACATTCTAAAACAGACTCAAAGAGACCATGTAAGAAGTTTTCCCAAGGGTTTTTTTTTGTATGACTGGCCAGTTATAATTTATTTTGAAAATATCATTATTTCAATATTACCCTACAATTTTTTACGAAATAAACTAAAATATCGTGTTTCATTAGCATTTTGTTACATAGGTAACAAAATGTGCATAGGCACTGAAAACAGTAGTTGCATAAGTAAAATTTAAGATTAAGGTAATTTTTACAATTTAATATTTTGCCTAAAACGTTAGACATTAATTTATGAGTCCTTAGGTAACCAGTAAAAATTACAGCACGGCAACTAACTTTGAAAGATGAAGATAGAAGTGGTCACTTTTTTACTTATTTTAAGCCTATGCTTGACTGTAATTCCACTTGATGGAGAGTGGTGTAGAAGTCTTAGATGGTAAATCAGACTGTCTTAGCGTAACAACAAGCACATTCACTCTTGCCTTGAAATTTTCTAGCACATTATTCCACTCCTTTATCATATTGTCATACTATTTCTTTGCCATCTGTTATGGAAAAAATCTGCTAACAGTGAAAAATTTAATTGACGGGAATATACAAATTACGTATTCAACACTTATTGCAGATTGGATCAGGAAGCTTTCATGAGATTTTATGTGAAGACCTTCATATGTTTGGTAGCTAGTTGGATGACATGTGATGAATCTTATATTTATCAATACAATCAAGAAAACTACCAGTCGATTGTTTAGCTGTTTCAAAAACATCTACCAAAGTAAAGCAAACCAGAAGCACACGGAAGAATTTGATCAATAGTTTTTTTTTTTTATTTGATCTGGTGTCAATTCCTTTCCAAAATAGGAGTAGAATCAACACAGAATAGTAACATAGTATGCTACCAATACCTTATTTTTTAATAACCTTTCTTTATCAGAATGCTTTTTTTTTAGGCATTATAGGCTTCTTTTGAATTTAAAGGCAAATTAGAATATTACAGGTTCTTATTTTAGATTACATTTTTATGGAATTGGGGTAACAAACAAGCACACTGTCCACCAGATGGTAAGTGGATGCTGTCCACAGACATCTTCAATTATTAAGAATCAAGATGCAGATGTAACCCCAGACAACTAAGATGTAATGCCTCGTTTCCAGTAACACTCGACAATTATTTAGCAAATTTTTGTTCACATTAGCCATACTTTCAATAAAAAATATTAATAAAAGCACCAAAGTATCCCTGATTAATTTGGTTGATTTCTAAGTGTATATTCAGATACAAAAGAAAATGTAAAATTACTATTTTTTTATACTAGCCTTATTGGTTGTAAAACTGCAGCCATTAACTTAGACATTTTAATTATATAATATTATTGAATTGAACTCTATAAATTTATGTTATTAACTTATGTGCAATGTTATTGCGAGATTTAAATTCTAATTTCTAACCTCCTTAAGCACGCTCCGCTTTTTTTTATAACTGACTTTACAGCTCTGGGTTCTAGCCCTTCTTAGCCTGAAGTTATAATGTATAATTATCCTTCATAGTACACTGATTCACAACATGTTGATGCGTCACGTTATATATCCCTTGGGAAATTTTGACGTCAACTTGAGTACTCAGACAGCTGACAGTTGGCGATGGTATCTCAAGGCGCCTAAGCAGACAGACACCTTGGAGTTTTGGCGGGAACATAACCGGCGGCGGTATGCTGCTCCTGTATTATTGTTTAAATAATGGTTTGAAGTAGACTTTGATATATAAAAGTGGTGCGATTTTGTATATTAAGTGTCTACGCATGTGAACTATTAGTGGAAACAGTGAAACAAGTGCTCTGATGGTGATGGATTCTCAAGATAAGCTGTTTGTTTGCATAGGCACCTTTAGATACCATCGCCAACTATCAGCTGTCTGCTGGATCAAGTTGCCGCCAAAATCTCCGAGGACTTCACAATGTGTCGCATCAACATATTGTGAAGCAGTGTACTATGAAGGCTAATTATACAATTGTACTACGGGATAATTATATATTGAAAAATGGAAAATATGGCTGACGCACAAACCGTGCAGGCCAAGAAATAGGGAAGAAGAAGACAGACACCTTATCTTGAGAATCACATCACCATCAGAGCACTTGTTACACCGTTTCCACTAATAGTTCACATGCGCAGACACGTAATACACAAAATCGCACCACTTTTATATATCAAAATCCACTTCAAACCATTATATAAACAATAATACAAGAGCAGCAATCGTCCACCGTTGAAGTTCCCGCCTAAACTACACGCTCCTAGGCTTGGGGAAAAAATATCGTTATATTGAAATATCGATATTTTATATCGCTATATATCGATATTTATTTTAGAGTATCGAATTCGTATCAATTTTGATATATTTTAAAATGATGTATCGTTTTTTTCGTAGCCCAACTGTCAGTAAATAAAATTTTGGACCTACCTTTACATCATTCAAATGATGACGATATATCGATATTCATCATGCGATATATATCGATACTGTTTATAAATATAGATTCGATATATATCGATATATTTTTTCCCTTTGCCCATCCCTACACGCTCCGCTCTGTGACAGCTGCATAGGTAATATATCTCTAGTATATATACAGCATTCTATAGATAATATACTAGATAGGGCCTATTTTCTATGCTCGAAGTAGGTATAAGGCAGACAGCTGATAGAAACAGAAACAAAAACAGAAACTTTTTTATTCAATATAGATTATAAATAATACTTATTGAAAGTCACTCTTTTGTATAATTACCACTGGTTCGAAAAAAACCTCTGTCCTGGGAAGAACCAGCAAGAAACCCAGCGGGACTTTTTTTTTAAATAACAGCTTACAATCATGTATGTAACACAAATTAACAACACAACAAATTAGAAAGAGCTTGGTAGCAATCATCTCATTTCCAGGGGTTATTATCATCTATAAATTCTTTAATATTATAATAACCCTTTTATACAAACTTAGTTTAATAAAGTTTTTGAACTTTGAGCAGGTCAAATTTAGTATATTTTCTGGAATTTTGTTGTAAAAGCGTATACATCGCCCCAAGAATGAATTAATGACTCAATGGAGTCGAGTAACTGGTACTACTAGCTTGTGTCTGTTCCTAGTATTTACAGAATGAATATCACTTATTTTTCTAAAACTACTTTTATTTTTGTGTGCGTACATTACATTTTCATAAATGTATTGAGAGGCCAAAGTTAATATATTAATTTCCTTAAATTTTTGTCGCAGCGACTTTTTAGGCTTTAAATTATAAATTGCTCTTATGGCCCTTTTCTGTAAAACAAATATAATTTCAGTGTCAGCTGCGTGTCCCCATAGCAAAATACCATACGACATTATGCTATGGAAATAGCTAAAGTAAACTAGTCTACGAGTAGCTGTTTCAACACTAGTTAGACTTCTAATCTTTTTTACGGCATATGCTGCAGAACTAAGTCTGCTTGCTAGTTTTGATATATGGGGGCTCCATTGAAGCTTCGCGTCTAGTGTGATTCCAAGAAAAATGGTGGTATCTACAAGACTCAGTTTCTCCCCATATAATATTACATTAGTATTTAATTGTTTGACATTTGGAGTCATAAATTTCATACATTTCGTTTTAGTGCCATTTAAATGCAAATTATTAACATTGAACCAATTTACTAATTTAGATATAGCATTATTTACTTCGTCATATTTTAGCAATTGTCGACTTAATTTGAAAATTAAAAAAGTGTCATCTGCAAATAATACTATATCATGGTTATCTCCTACTATGTAAGGTAAGTCATTAATGTATACAAGAAACAGAAAGGGGCCGAGAATTGAGCCTTGAGGCACGCCCATTTGTACCATCGACCCGGAAGAACTCATACTGTTAATAACAACTTTTTGCGTTCTCTTACTTAAAAATGAAATAATTAATTTAAGAGCATCACTTCTTACACCGTAGTGTTGAAGTTTCCTGATTAATGTTTCATGGTGAACACAATCGAAGGCTTTGGATAGGTCACAAAATATACGCAAAGAATCCTGTGAATTCTCCCATGCCTTAAATATATATTTAATCAGCTCAACACCGGCATCAGTTGTCGAGCGACCCCTTGTGAAACCAAATTGATTTTTATGAAGTAAATTATTTATATTAAAGAAATTAAACATTTGATCAGGAATAATTTTTTCAAAAATTTTACTAAGTGTTGGTAGTACAGAAATAGGTCTAAAATTGGCGGGGTCTAATGTATTACCAGATTTAAATAAAGGTATTACTTTACTATACTTCATTAAATCAGGAAACACACCAGATTCGATACTAGTATTAAAAATAATAGCTGAATGAGGCGCGATTGTATCTATTATAGACGCAATAACTTTAACGGAAATCCCCCACAGATCAGCAGTTTTCTTAACATCAATAGTTTTAAAATATTTTACAATATCTTTTGATGATACTTTATGAAATGCAAAATTCTTTGTACACGCATTTACATTTTGTTTAAGTAATGATTCGGCGACCGCAGGAGAAGAATTCAGTGACTTAGTGGTTAATATCGAAATATAAGTAAAATATTTCTCAAAAACCATTGCAACGTCCTTATCTGATTCGGTTAATTTGTTACTAACACTTAACTGGTAGTCTGAATTGCGAGAGTTGATCTTACCAGTTTCGCTATTAATTATACTCCATGTCATTTTAATTTTATTAGAAGCCGTCTTAATTTTGTTGCTCAAATGCAAAGACTTGGCTGTGGAGCACACTCTTTTAAATATTTTTGAATATTTTTTCACATATTCCCTAAATTCGACGCTATGATTATATGACCTTTCATGGTAAAGATCATATAACCTATGCCTGCTCTTATGGACTCCTACTGTCGCCCATTCATTGAATGACTTCCGACTGTTCAAGGAGAATGTTTTAGAAGTAAAAGTATTATTAAATTCATTGCAAATAAGCTTAAATAATGTTCCATACAAAAATTTGGATCATTTTGGTATGAAAGTGATGGAAGTTTTTTCACTATGTTACTTCTAAATTTCTAAATTTCTATAGCCCATTTACACTCACATGCGAGCGGCGAGGCGAGTCGCAAGGCAAGCCACGAGGTGCGAACGTAAACGCCAGCTCATGACTTGGCTCGCAGCTTGCCTCGCCGCAATGAAATATAAAATTATGTATAAAATATAATGAAATTATGAACTCAAAAGGTTATGTTTCGATGAACAGATATCATCCACTATATTCTTCTTCAACGACGTATTTTTTTTAATTTCCTTCTTTTTATAAAGGTCAAGCATCGATAAATACTTATTGAGGCAAGAGTTGATGCCGCTATTATTTTGACGTCTTCTATCGTTGCTGTCTTAACGCTTAACGGAAACTGAACGTATCGCGAGAGTGTAAACAGGCACTCATTACCTCGAAACAACACGCGAGCTACGAGGCGAAAGTATAAATCGGGTACTAGAGAGGGTAACTCAGGAGAGTTAGATACAAAAGATATGGAGTTTTGGCGGGAACTTGATCAGCGGCGGTTTGCTGCTCCTGTATTATTGTTTAAATAATGGTTTGAAGTGGACTTTGATATGTAAAAGTGGTGCGATTTTGTGTATTAATTGTCTACGCATGTGAACTATTAGTGGAAACAGTGAAACAAGTGCTCTGATGGTGATGGATTCTCAAGATAAGCTGTTTGTTTGCATAGGCGCCTTGAGATACCATCGCCAACTATCAGCTGTCTGCTGGCTCAAGTTGCCGTCAAAATCTCTCAAGGGCTGCACAAGGTGACGCATCAACATATTGTGAAGCAGTGAACTATGAAGGATAATTATTTATAATAAACCGAATAAAAATACTCAAGACTTGGCCTAAAGGTCTAGATACCAGGCCATAAACTCCTATAAAAAAAATACAAAAGATATGATTCGAGTTGTGAAATGAATGATTGAACAGTGATTATGTTCTCTTTGTATCTATCTACGAGATTTATAGAGTACTTGTTATTGTTACCATTCGCTAACTATGGAATACAAAGTTCTTAGACCATACAGCCTCATTTATTTTTTTATTTTGTTCACAATTCTTTTTACAACATGCTGATGCGTCATATTACGAAGTTTTAGGGAGATTTTGACGACAGCTTTACTCAGCGGACAATTGATGACAATAATATCTTAGTCCCAACGCGGATAAAAAATTGAGACTTATATTATCACCGAAACAGTTGTTACATCATATCTACTAATAGTTCATCTTCATGGGCAGAAGTTCAACACACAAAATCGCACTACTTTTACGCAACAAAATACACTTCAAGCTAACTACTTTAAACGACAAAACTGCAGCAGCAGTCTACCAGCGGTCAAATTCCCACCAGAACAGTGTCGAATTTTTTATATAAGCAAGATAATTTACTAAAAGATAAGAGTGTCCGTATTAAATATACTAATATATCATACCAACCGCAAAAATGCCTAAATTATACTAAAAAAATTGAAAAAAAATTAAAGTATTAATAATATATAAGTCGACTCATTCGTGCTGTAATCATTATAATATAGCTGCAGCATGGCGTTGCAACGAGCACAGGCCAAACGAGCATGTGGCTCACCTGATTGTAAGTATCGGCTGCCGCCAATGAACAACTGCAACACCGGGAGATTTGCAAGTGCGTTGCTGATCTTTTAAAAAGGGGTAAACCGTATTGGCGTATTCAAGTTTAACATCAAGTTTGAAACATTTTATATACTATTATACACTTTATTATTTATTTACTACATTTCATTTTGTATTGAAACCTATCAACTAATTAAAAATATGTGTTATTAATTTGAATACATTTTAATAAAACTGGGTATATGAAATCAAAAACGGAACGTCTTGGTGTCGACTGTCGATACGCGATACGATTACGATAGAAAAAACTGAATATGGCGGACAAAAATAACAAGGGCGCTAAAATATTATTTTCTATATTTGTGATTTTTCTGTAAACAGCTCTGTATTACACTTTATTCAAGTGTTATGTTTAGATTTTATTTAGTTCCAAAAATATCGTGAAATAGTAAGTATCGTTAATAATACCATATACAAAGTAAATATACATTGCGTACTTGGAATAATATAGTTTTATTTTGTATCACTGACAACAATGAGCTCTTCTGATGAGAGTAATTACTTACAAGTTCATATTATTTTAGCCACAAAATGTCTGCGATTAAAGTGAATTTTGAGATAGGACACAAAGCGTCATTAAAATCTAAGAAAACCCCAGAAGGATTCACTCATGACTGGGAAGTCTTCGTACGCGGTCAAGAAGGTGCTGATATAAGTCATTTCGTAGACAAAGTTGTATTTCATCTGCACGAAACTTTTCCTAAACCTAGACGAGGTAATAATTTTGATTTTTTTTCAGATTCTATTTAAATGTCTCTGTAATATTTGTTTGGTAATGTTTACCCGCGAAGTTGTTTACATTCTATTTATTTTATAAATCGGGAATATTTTTCAAAATTTGATGAAGATTTATTTAATTGATATATATCTATAGAGGATTTTTCTAACAATTTATATAAATTTTACTATTTTAAATTTACAATAATTTGTTATTATAATTAGTGTATTGACTTTAACAGTTTTTTTACTTATATTTTTCAGTTGTAAAGGAACCACCATTTTCCATAAGCGAGTCGGGTTATGCAGGTTTTATTTTTCCTATTGAAATTTATTTGAAAAATAAAGATGAACCTAAGAAGATTAAATTTTCTTATGATTTCACACTGCAACAAAGTGGTTTTCTTAAGGATAGGTATATTTTTCAAAATCCTAATGATGATTTTAGGAAGAAATTGTTAAAAGGTGGTGGAATAGCAATAAGCAACAATGCATTTTATACAAATCCAGATCAAGAAAATCGTAGCAGAGATTCATTCACTGAAGAAAAACAACAGCTTGTAAGTAAGCCCAAACTTTCAGCAGAAAATCTTAAGAAGCATAAATCTAAAGAATACAAAGAAGAGATACCACATAGAACAAGCAGTTTTGAAAATCTCTTTGGACCTCCTATACAAAAGCCACCTAAAGTATCCCCAGATCCTAAAAAAATTGAAAAGAGTGTTCTTACAGTTAAGTCTGAAAAAAAGGAAAAAGAGAGATCAAGTTCTGATAAAAAATCAAAACATGAACACAAGGAACCAAAACCAGAAAAAGTTAAATTGAAAGAAGAGAAGGATAAAACAAGAGTTGAGAAAGTGAAAAATTCTAAGGAGCCTGAGAGATCAAAAGAAAAACTAAATAAAAGACCAAATGATAGACCTCCTTCACCAGATATAATCAAAAAGAGGTGTATCAGCCCTGCAAGGAGGCCACCAAGCCCAGCACAAAGATCTAACAGTGCTTCTAGCATTAAAGAAGATTACAAATCTAAACATGTGCCAGAAGCTTTTGAATCTAAAAAAATTAAAATTGAAGTTGAATCCAAACCTGTAGAAATTAAGACAGAAAAAGAAGTGAAAGAGAAGAAGAAAAAAGAAAAGAAAAGTCATGATAGAGACAAAGAAAAAAAGGAAAAGAAAGAGCATAAAAAGGAAAGCCATAAATTAAAAGAGTCTCCTAAGGAGCCACCTAAAGAAATACCAAAAGAGATACCAAAAGTAAAAGAAGTTATAAAAGATAAGGAATCAACAAAAGATACATCTCATTCAAGGGATAAACATCAAAAATCGGAAAAAGCAATTAACAAATTTTCTATTGAAAATCTTAGGAAAACTCCTCCACCCGAAAACGAGGAACATATTGAAAATCGCAAAGTAAAAGAAAAAGGCGAGTCAGAAAGGAAACACAAACATAAAAAAAAAGATAAAAAACGAGATGAATCGAAAGAAAAGCATAAAGACTCTAGTAAAGAAAAAAAAAGTAAACATGAGAAAGTTAAGGATCCCCCTCTTGAAAAACCTGAAATTATTGAGCATCGAGAAACTCCTGTTCTTAAAGAACGCTCATTACCTGAACCGGCCTCTCCAATATCCATTGATACTGCATCTCAGTGTAGTTCTAAAAGTGGGCTTGTCAAGACATCACATATAAGTACAGAAGAAGTTAATAGCAGTCATTCTGATTCTGAAGGTTCTATAATTGCTGACGAAGAAGATGTGAAAGATAAAATTGAACATCCTTCTCCAGCATTGAAACATGAACCTTCACCAGAACCCGAACCAGATCCAGAACCTGAGCTAGAGCCTGAACCAGAGGTAGAACCTGATATAGATCCTGTACTTGAGGTTCCACCTGTACAACAAAAAGAAAAATCGAAGAAACATAAAGATAGATCTTCAAAACGTGAAGAAAAGCGCCGGAAACGAAAAGCGGCTGAAGAAGAAGAAATAGAAAATAGGAAAATAGCCAAAACGAATGAATTAGGACCTTCAAACAGTGAAACTGAGCGTGGAGAAAGTAGTGGGTCAGTGTCTGTTGAAACTAAAGTACAAGATAATGGGGTATCTAGTAGTCTTGGTGAAGATGCAGAGCCAGGAGACTTATCACCAGACTATATGGTGCAACTTCGTGGTCTTCAGCAACGCATCATGATGATCAAGAATAATGAAGATCTAGAAAGAGTTGTGAACCTTATTGCTGAAACTGGACGTTATGAAGTGACTACTCAGACATTTGATTTTGATTTGTGTTTGTTAGACCGATCAACAGTGCAGCAGCTTATACAGTTAGTGGGATGCTAGCTAAATAATTAGAACATTGTTGGTGTTTTTGTAAATATTGCTTTAGTAGATAGCACATGGCAACTGTACAGAGTTAATAAAAATAAATTGCCTATGACAAATACGAGGCAAGTCGATTTGTAACATTTTTTTTGTTACAGTGCAAAATGCTTGTCTGTTTCTCTGCGGTTTTGCAAGCAGATGTAAGATTTATTAATGTTAAGAGTAATCTCATATACATTAAATACTAATAGGAATAATTTCTCATTACTCATCACTGGAGTTTTAAGTGCAATACTATAGGCATAAAGTTATAAGACTGTTGAAAGATTGTTAAAGCGTATTGTATATTTTGTACATTATTGTACTGATTCATTATAATTTAAGTTAATGAACTCAAGAGTTTTTAATTATCCTCCTGAGTCAGAAGGACTATGAGAGGCTATGTTTAGTGTATACTATAGGTGAGATTTGATGCATTTTGCGTTAACATATTAGTGAACACAGAACCAGAGTAATAGTATTTATTTTACTTTTAACATTTTAATTTTTATTGTTTTCCTAATATATTTTTAAGATCAGCTTTCAGTTGGCATATTATTAATTTTTAAGGTAAATTTAGCTACATCACATTTAGATAACATGATTTTTATAAATTATAGTGATTTTAACATGAATAATCATTAACTACAATTTTTTAAACATTTATCAAGCTCCCTTTTGGCTATGTTTTCTTGAGAGCCTTGTATATTTATGTTTGTTACGTAAATTATTTTTTTAATTTATCTATTTTAGTATATATTTGAAAGAATAAATAGAGTGTATATTGATTATATATTTTTTGTTTCGACATATACCTTGTTTATTTAATTATTTAATAACAGATCAAAAACATCACTAACATACAGTACCTTGCTCCTGTAATTTTTGTGAACATTTAGTTTTTTTAGTTTGTTCATTTCGCATTTATATTACTATAATATATATTCTAGGGTTTTCAGCAGCAACATTGAATATGTACTATGGAAAGTTGACAATTGCTCTATGTTCTACTTTTTAACCAACTTCAAAAAGTAGGAGGTACTCAATTTGACTGTAATGATATGTATTTTATGTGTGTTACCTCATAACTTTTTCTAGGTTTTTTTTTATAGCATAAGGTGACAAAAGAGCACACAGTCCACCTGATGGTAAATGGATACTGTGACCCATAAACAACTACATCTATCCTCTATTAAGAATCAAAATGCAGATGCATTGTCACCCGTGAGGACTAAGATGGAATGCTTCGTTTCCCAGTAAAAAGTGTCTCCAGTTCTCTACACTCATTTTCCATACTAAGCACAGCTGCATTACGGTGCTATTTTACGCTAGTATTCTGTGAGAGCGTAGTCGCACCTGGGTTGAACCGTCCCATTTGTGCTACAACTAGGCTTGCCAACTCCAAAAAAGGCATTTCCGGGACTACCCAGCTCGACATCCGGGCCTTGGGTATATTACGCGGGACACAACACACCACATACAAATTGGTTAAACAAACAAACACATTGGTTATAAAATTCACTGCAATTTGTAGTTCAGCCTTGACGTGTTCAACAAACAACTTATTTCTGCTGTCTGTCCATGCATTTTCACACATAGAAAACACTCTGCTGATGCATTTGAAAGTGGTATCGAAGCTACGGTGTAGTTGGTACGAGATAGATACTAATATCATATAATCACCGATTTTCGGGACAAAAGGCGTCCCGCAAGGGGTTAAGGCGGGACGGTCCAAAATTTACCCAGAAGCGGGACGTCCCGGAAAATCCGGGACGGTTGGCAAACCTAGCTACAACCATAATATAGCTGCAGTGTGGCTCTACCACGTTTTTTCTAGGTGAACCGATTTTGATGATTCTTTTTTTTTTTGTTCAAAAGCTGGTGCATCTCATGTTAACCCATAAAAATTTGATCAAGGTCTGACCAATAGTTTTTGAGTTATCCTTAATAATTTATATTGAAGTCGGTTGTACAAAATTTTTAATTTTACCACTTTTTATAAAAATACTCAGTGCTATTATATAATACTAGATTGATCGGCAACCGATATTTTGCCGTTTCGAGTAGGAGTACCGTTTATCAATAACGGCACAGTGTCGCTATCTATCGGGTCCACATTTTGAGATTTCCTTTTTTGTTACTGAACTAAGTATTTTATTATTAAATAAAAACGAATTCTTTGTCGCAAAAGAGGCGCAGACGATGAAAATAGCAAATGTATAAACCTAATTAACCTTTTTAGGGTTCCGTACCCAAAGTAACCAACGGGATCCTATTACTAAACCTCTGCTGTCCGTCCGTCTGTTTGTTTACCTGTCGTACTCATGATACGTAATAGGTAGACAGTAAAATTTTTACAAAATGTGTATTTCCCTTGCCGCTATAACAACAAATAATAAAAATTTAAATAAATTAAGAGACTCCTACTAGAAACGTTAATACTATGATACGGAACTCCTCATGCGCGAGTCCGACTCGGACTTGGCCGGTTATTTTAATTTGCATGTTTACTGCGTAGTAAAATATAATTATTAATGGCATTATCATAATGCCAGCGCTGAGTAATGCCGCATTGAAGATCAACATCGTGACTTGCAAGCTTGAGAAATAAACTATATATTATTCAAAAAGTATTTGGAAAAAAGGAGAAAGCTGATTCTACAATTTTTTTTTGTATAAAATGTTACGGATAAAAATTAAAGTGCGTATATACCTAGGTTTATCCGGCTACAACTAGGTGCAGCCGATTACGGTTGGTTAAACTGGTGTAACCAGGGGCGTAGCTACCGCCGTATCAGCCGTATCTATGATACGGGGCCCCCGGGGTACAGGGGCTCCAAACGTGTATAAGCAAAAATTCTACGGACGTCTATGAACAGGAAAGGCTATCAAACTTGTGACTATTGTCTATAGAGACAGAAAAACTGAAATCGTCTTCGGCTATGAATTTTATGATATAATAAATAAGTTCACTGAATAAAAAGCAAGAAAAGTGTATATTTGATTTGAATTGTTTGGCTTGTTTAGTTTCTAGGAGTATTAATTGTAAGTAATACCTTACAGTGCCGTGTAGTGGCAGTTAAGAATAACCACTATCCCACATCTGTGAGTGAGTGAGTGAGTGTCGTAATAGGCGACAGTGGGAAACAGGCGGAGATGGGCGGCAGCATCTTCCTGATAACAGCATCAGTACAATAAAAAAACTGTGGTTGATAACCCGCTTCTCAACTATGGCAAACATCCCCCATGATGAAAGTAACGATGAAATGGCTCCTAGTCCCAGACGGCCCTGCTATTCCTGGCTACGGTGGCGACCATGGTAACGGCAGGGCAGGGGGTGCTAAGAATCTCCGGTGGAGATTCGGTTGCCCCCTAAGACAACTCGACCTGGCAAGAGGACTGACGAGAAGACCTTGGAGCTGGAAGAAGAGATATACAAGTTGCGCCCAGATATTACAGGATTATCTGAGGTATAAAAAGAGGGGGAGTATACGGTGATCCTCGAATCCGGCTACTTGTTCTATCACCGAACATCTGTCCCAAAGAGGTGACGTATTTATCTTCCACAAGTCTCTCGTTAACAACGTTGTATAGATTGTGAGTGTGTCGAGAGAGTGCGGGATGTTTACGCACCAACTTCTGCACATCCCGATGAGGAGGTGGAGGAAATGTATGAAGATATTTCCAAAGCCATGCATTCCTCAAAAATCCACTATACGACGTTAATGCAAAACAAAGCACGGGAGAAAGGTAAGCTGAAGGTAGTGAAATTTGGAATAGGACAACGGCACCCAAGTGGCCAGCAGCTGGCCGATTTCATGGAGAAAGAGGGACTCTTTAAGATGACATCTTTCTTCCAGAAGCGGCTTCACAGGAAGTGGACCTGGTCGAGCCCCGACGGTTCGACAAAAAATGAGTTTTACTTTGACTTCATTAAGACGCCAACTGTTCAGTGATGTCTCAGTGATCGCGAGAGTGAAAACTGGTAGCGATCACCGAATGGTTAGAAACACGCTGAACCGAAACATTAAGTTGAAGAGGTCACGTCTAATGAAGTCAACGCTGCGTCCCCCTCGTGCTCTAATCCAGTCTCGAAAACTTTCAGCTCTAGTTACAAAACTGTTTTCAGTGCCTAGAACACTGAATTGCTGTGGACGATATGAATAACAAGCTCGTGGAAACTCTCCATGCGTTCGGAGCTAAGTTCTGCAAGACCCGTCGCTGAAGAACGCAAAAACTCCTTTCTCACTCTTAATTTCATGACTGTTAGACGGGAAATGAAACTGCAGTCTTCAACAGATTGGACATTATACAATTAACTGAACAGACAGATCTCCAAATGCATGCGGCGGGACTCAGTCTGAGCAAGATTAGAATGGCTATCCAGCACTTTAAAAACGGCAAGGCCCCAGGCGAGGATGGAATTACAGCCAGGCTTCTGAAAGCGGGTGGAAAACCGTTCCTTGAAGTCTTTCAGAAGCTCTTTAATTCCGTTCTTCTCGATAGGACTACTCCGGAGGCATGGGGTAGAAGTGTGCTGATCTTGTTCTTCAAGAAAGGCGACTACGCTTTTTAAAGAACTACAGACCGATTTCCCTGCTGAGCCGCGACTATATGCTGTTTTCGAGAGTCATTACGAATCTTCTCGCACGCAGACTACGATTTCTAGCCTCCCGAACAACCCTGTTTCCGAAAAGGCTTTTGTGTCATAAACAACATACATACCCTTCGGCAAATGGAACAGAAGACCAAAGAGTACAATTTGCCACTTTGCCTTGCGTATGTGGACTATGAGAATACCTTTGAATCCGTCGAAATTCGGGCGGTGCTACAGTCCCTTCAGCGGTGCTAAGTTGACTGTCGGTGCTGAAGTGTTTATATAGTAGGGCTACGATGGCTATCCAAGTACAGAACTAGATTACGAAACCTATCCAACTGCGGAGAGGTGTAAGACAAGGTGACGTTATACCCCCGAAACT